TTGAGTACACCTTGCAGTGAATCAATAATATTTTCATTTCAATGATATTCACAATAATTTGCCTCTTTTTTGATGATTCGATTTGAAATTTCAACACTACACTCTTATCACTTGGGTAATTTCTTTAAAGTGAATTCAAAATTAAAATTCAACTTTGTAGTTATCGARTTAGTCCAAATGTGTTGTACCTATACAATATAAAGCAAATTAGCTATCGTAATAGTATAATATTTTAACTTGGTTCTATCAGAAATGATTTTCTTACKTTGTCTATGTTTACATTGTTTGGWACATAATATACTCTTTAACTTATAAATATAACAATTTCATAATCAAATATTTATTTTTAATGATTTCATGAAGTTTATTGGCAGCTGTATTTAAATTTTAAATRATTGWAACAGATGCTGTTTGTTTTTTATTCTACTAAAATTTTACCATTCATCTGCCAATCTCTAATATACTATCACTTAATTTGTTGCAGGAAACGGTGAGATTCAATGGTGTTTCTCACAAGTTAAAGGCACGTTGGAAGATGATGTTACCGAAGGTAAGTGTATAAAATTTTTGTTCCTTAGTTAGGCATTTATATTTATTCATTTTAACAGCCGATTTAATATCCTGCGTGGAGTTTAACCACGATGGAGAATTATTGGCAACCGGTGACAAAGGCGGTCGAGTAGTAATATTTCAACGGGATCCAATGGTAAGTAAATTATTGACATTTTGAATTATTCTTATAATTTAACTATACCTTCAACCCATAATCTAAATACCAATGCCATACTAAAAGAGATTTAATCTTCCAATAAATCTGTGATCACACCTGATTATTTGGGTGCACTAAACTTTCAGAAGCTCCTTTTAGAATCTGAATCTTAGCAGCTGTCATAAGTATTCCTTATTTAAATGTGTGATTGATCTATGATCAATTAAAACTTATCAACTATATGAWATCTGATATTGATTAATGTATACAAAACAAGAAAATTTGATCAGGAAAAAGTTATTTATTTAAAATTTTATAAAATCGTTATGTTATCTTGCARAGAGTATTAAGTCAAGCTATAGCCCGACTGGCACCTAACCGGTAGTTTTGACTATGTATACAAGAAATAGATGAAAACTGATTTGTTACTTTAARATGTATTTTCAAAAGMACTATTCAGACTAATTTATTTTTTTAATATTATTCTTTGATTAGGTATAAATTTACAAATGTAGTATTTGTTGCATAAAAATACCAATATTAGACAAATATTTAAAAACCTATATATTATATATGATTTAGTTACATATATATTTTTTTGGATAATTACAAACAAAATCAAATTAAACAAAACCTGAATCTGTAATAATTTAATAAATTAAATTATAATAATGATGCACTGCACTTAAATATCCTATATGATATAATGGTAAGGAATTAATAAAACAATATTTTGTTTATTTATGAATGAAAAAGTTTGGTTTTTTCAAGGTTGTAAAATACTTTATTTATTAAATTATGTTATCCATATTAATTATGTATTTAACATTACAGAGTAAAACATGTATTCCAAGACGAGGGGACTACACAGTATACAGTACGTTCCAAAGTCATGAACCTGAATTTGATTATCTTAAGAGTTTAGAAATAGAAGAAAAAATTAATAAAATTAGGTGGCTCAGACGTAAAAATCAAGCTCATTTTCTTTTATCTACTAATGGTAATGCTAAAAAAAAATAATCATATTTATTTTCTATTAATTGTTATTTATTATGTAATCTAGACAAAACCATAAAATTGTGGAAAGTGTCTGAAAAAGATAAGAAAATTGAAGGATATAATACTAAAGAAGATAGTGGCATCATGAGGGATCCAATGAATATTACTTCCTTGAGGGTATGTTGTATTGTTGTTTATAATGTTATTATTTAAATTATCAGAAGTATATCTGTGTTTATTATTCTTTCTTTCTTTTTTAATTTTTGATAACCAAATTAATTTACAATACTAWACCTATAGTATACAGTCTAAGTTGAAAATATTAACTTAAAATAAAGAAAATAATTCAAAACTTGCAGGTGCCAGTATTAAAGTCAATGGAACTAATGGTTGAAGCTTCTCCAAGAAGAGTATTCGCCAATGCTCATACTTACCATATTAACTCAATCAGTGTAAATTCTGATCAAGAGACCTATCTGTCTGCTGATGACCTAAGAATAAATTTATGGAATTTAGAAATCACTGATCAAAGTTTCAGTATCCTTTTACATTTATTTGATATTTAATTCCACAATTTTTAAATAAGAGATGTAAGTATTTTTCCTTAGTGTAACAAATTAATAGATATTGTTGATATTAAGCCAACTAACATGGAAGAGCTCACAGAAGTCATAACAGCAGCTGAATTTCATCCGCTGGAATGCAACTTATTTGTATACAGTAGTAGCAAGGGTACAATTCGTCTATGTGATATGCGATCTTCAGCATTGTGTGATAAACATGCTAAATGTTAGTGTTTAAAATAACTGACTGATTATATGTTAGAACTTTTAATAATAGTATTCTTACTTTTGTATAGTATTTGAAGAACAAGATGATCCAACAACGAGAAGTTTCTTTTCTGAAATCATATCTAGTATATCTGACGTGAAAATTTCCAATTCTGGTCGTTATATGATGTCTAGAGATTATATGACTATTAAGGTTTGGGATTTACATATGGAAACTAAACCAATTGAAACATATCCCGTGTGTATTTATATATTCATATTTTATTTCATTTTATCGATGTCAACATTTTTTTTTGACAAATAATAATTTTTAGGTGCACGAGTACTTGCGGCCTAAACTATGTTCGTTATATGAAAATGATTGTATATTCGATAAATTTGAATGCTGCTGGTCGGGCACTGATCAGTATATTATGACTGGTGCTTACAATAATTTCTTCAGAATGTTTGATCGGGCAGCTAAACGAGATGTCACATTAGAAGCATCTAAAGAAATTGCTAAGCCTAAGACAGTATTGAAACCTAGAAAAGTAAATATCTATTATTGCAAAACAATTAATACTAMTTTGTGTGTTAATTAAATTATTATTTCTTAATCAGGTGTGTGTAGGAAATAAACGTAAAAAAGACGAGATTAGTGTCGATTGTTTAGACTTTAATAAGAAAATTCTTCACACTGCATGGCATCCAAATGAAAATATTGTTGCTGTTGCGGCCACCAATAACTTGTATTTGTTCCAAGATAAATTGTAGCCTTAGCACTGACTACCGCTTTCATCATCTTTAAAGTATATTAAATTTACCATTGTAAAATTTTTTTGAWATACTTATGTATTTTTTTATGATTTCAGTGTCTTGACAAGATGGGATTCTGATTGCGGATTAACTAAATGTATAAGAAAATACACACTGTGTTGAGCTTCTCATGGCAGAAGATAAGATTTTGGTATCTTGTTTTACTCATCAATATATATTGTACAAAAAAATGTTTCCCTCGGAATCCCATTTTTGGATAATATTACTCGGCTCGTTTTATACACATTTTTTTTAATTTCCCCTTCCTAAAATTTATTTCTATTAGTTTACAGTTCTCTAATTAAAATTACCTTCTTTTTATATATATATATTTAATAATTATAAATTAACATACAATTTTTTTAGAGTAAAAATTACTTCTGTATAACTTTTCTACAAAAAACCTTTAATTATTTTTAGTGGAGAGCCCAAATATTCAATTTAAGTATCAAAAAAAAAAAAATTGTACCAGTGATGCATAGTTAATGCGATCATTTATATATTTATTTATTTTTGTGTACTGTACATACCATGTTTTTTATGATAATAGTTAATGTGTAAGGTTACAAACTTGCGAAGAGTGAAGGTCAAACACTAATGAAAAATCAAAGAAAATATATTTTCTATTGTTTTGTTTCTTGTTTGGTCTTCACCAAACACTATGATGGACGTATATAAATTTGTTAAAAATCAAATTAAATTTAATACACTTAAAACTAATTATTAAAAAAATGTGTACAATAACCTAAAAGATGATAAAAAGAAGCCTCGCATCTGTTTTTGACGGGTGATTACGGCTATTGTTGTTTTCTCTTTTTATTTTTACAAATGCTAAAATTATTTTTACGCCCGTGAATTTTATTTTCTGTACCTATTTATTGATAATAATAATAATAATAAGTATTAATTGACTCGAATTAGATTATTATATTTATTATTGACATTCTGATAAATATTATTATTATTATTGATATTAATATTATTTGAATATGTGTGAAAATACAACATCTTACCTGAGATCTATATTAAACTTGAACAATTTTTAATTGTAATGATAGCTATATGGTTTATTAAACATTGGGTAAATTCACTGTTTTGTCGTCGATTCAGCTGACRTCATAAATATTGAAATTATTATTTAAATACAATCTGGAAATAAAAATCAATTTTGTTTTTTTTTTAGTTTATCTTAAAAATAAGAATTCTCAATTACAATTTTTCAACGCAACTATTTTAAATCCAAGAACAGTAATGGTAATATAGGATGAAATTAATATAGTTCACTATTATGGAATAAAAACTGGTCTACTGTCAAATATTTTCCATATATGGTGTTACAGCAAATATAAAATCAAATATGTGCTTCGAAAAATAAAATGTCATTTAAATTCAGTTTTAATTGACCTTATTGGCATTCAGTAAAACAAATTGGTAATTTGTACAAGGCCARAGTTAAACTTAATTTTCTGATGGTGGGAGAGGGGCTCCACATATTTTGTTGAACAACAAGTTGCGCTCCTGAATAACGTTTTGAATTTTTGGTTGATAAAATACCCAATGAGTGATAAGTTCTTAGATTCCATTTAATTTACCTACAGAATGTGACGAATATATTAACAACGACTGAATACCATCACGTAACTAAATTTATTAATTTTATTGTAATTTCCAACGATCTCTGCAAGTAAGATAAACTCTTGATGGACGATGGTTATGACTGGTTCATTGGTGTTTTGCTGAAAAGGATAAACTATCTCACAGTACGGTAATATTGTAAACTGTTGATACTTGCTGGTACGTAATATTCTATGGTTGGCATTACTGCTTCTGTTATCGTCGAAGGTTTGAGATAGTACCATAGTATCAGCGATGGGCTAAAAAAAACATCGCCGCTTGACCGCCTAGATTTATTATCTTGAATCATACCTGTGAGTTGTGACAGCAACAAGCAGTGATCAGTGATATGCAAAGTGAATTGAATAAGAATAATGGATACTTGGAGTCTCGAATAAATTGAGATAATTGTTGTCGTCATTAATTCTTTAGGTACTAAGATTATTAGTTGAATACAAACTTATAGTCTTATCGTTAATTTTACGAACATGTCCCAATTGGACGTGAACAAAAACAGACAGCAAATATTGGATACTTGGAAAGATGTGGTGGACGACAAGACTCCGACCAACTGGTGAGTACACTACAACWCCAGTTGTAGACAATGAAGGGACAGCATCTATTAATATTTTTATTTTTCAGGGCCGTCTATGGCTATGAGGGTCCAACTAACATACTTAAGTTTGTTAGCCAAGGAGGTACGCCTTTATATGTATTTGCTTAAGTCATGACTAAAATACTATTTTAATACTATTACCTTTAATACAACATACCTGGTTTGTTGAATCATACATTTAGAAATCTATTATAATTTTTACTATACTTTGCAGAAGGGGGAATTGAAGAAATGAAAGAAGACTTAAATAGCTCTAAAATTATGTACGCATTCTGTCGAGTGTTGGACCCAAAGACTAGCCTTTATAAATGTGTCTTAATAAATTGGGTCAGTAAATCAATAATTTATAAGTGTTCTTTAAATTTTGAAAATTATATTCATTATTTTCAGCAAGGTGAAGGAGCTCCTATTGTCAGAAAGGGAACTTGTGCTAATCATATTCGTGATGTATCTAACATTTTAAAGGGRGCACATGTAACTATAAATGCACGTAATGACGATGAAGTGGATACAGATATAATAATATCTAAAGTTTCAAAATCATCAGGGTCAGTTTACTCATTTAAAGAAAGACTGGATCAATCGCAGCCACAAGAGAAAATTGTAAATTCACAATCGAGGATTATTCTTATTTATATAGATAGCAATGTCTAATAATAGAATAACTGTTTTAGGGTACTTCTTACAAAAAAATTCAACCTAATTTAGAAATAAATTCATCTGAAAGGGATAAGTTCTGGGCAGCTGAAGAAGAAAAAGAGAAATTAAGACAAGAAGAAGAACGAAAGAAAAAAGAACAAGAGCAGAAAAAAATAGAGAATGAAAGACTTTTGCGAGAAGTGAGTTACTGTAAATATTTTATTATTCATGTGAAAAACTGAAAACCAAATTTAAAACTTTTATAGGATACTGATAGAATAAGAAGAGATTCAATAATAAATCAAGAAATTCAAAACACTGAACCAAAGCCTATTGTTGTTGAAGCAGAATCAGAAAAAACAGAAGATGTTAAAATCGAACAAGCAAAACCTGCATTAGTTGCCGAAGAAATTGTAAATCAAAATGAACAAAATATTGTTGAGGATGATTTAGGAATTAAAGCTGAAGCATTGTATGACTATCAAGCAGGTAGTAAAAAATTTATTTTAATTTTTAATTTAATTTAATTTGATTTTTTTTTTTTTGCCAAGCTGATGACACGGAAATTTCATTTGATCCGGGGGATATAATTTGTCATATTGATAAAATCGATCAAGGCTGGTGGCARGGTTTGAGCCCTGATGGTACATTTGGTCTATTTCCAGCCAATTATGTTCAACTTCTTCCTTAAGATAGTACTAGATACCAAATTCCTAGTTCTCTCATTTATACCATAATAATTACTAATTAGTATTTATATCTGCGATTTTATTATTAACTAAAATTAATTCATCATAATAGGTAATTACTAATTGGTTGTGAAAACATGTTTGAATCATGTTTAAGTTTTAAATATTTAAAATCAATGTTTTGGTATTAATTACAATTATTGTTAATCTAGTTAAATGTTTATTTATTAAATTTTTTTCATTAAATTTTATTTAAGTTTTAATAACTAGTTTTATTTTTTTTTACCAGAAAACCCCTTTTCTAATAATAAAAATAAACAAATAGGTAGGTATTTTTATTTTACAATAAATAATAATATGTAATATATTATATACATTTATTTTTACAACTTATATCATACTTATTAGTTAATAACAATCCATCTTCAGAAATTGTCGATTAARTATTTGTAACAAAAAATACTCAATTAACATATTTTATTAGTCGATGACTGAAGGCTAATAATAATAAAAAAAAAACAATAATTTATTGTTTCAGTAAAGATCATTTTTTTTTTTATTAATCCAATGTTTGAACTATTGTTAGAATTTAAATGATTTATAAATTATTGTTAKATTTTARGCGATTTAAACTCATAATTAATGATTGTATTCCTTGAAAATTATTCTATTCATTGTTCATGTGTTAACTTTTAAATACATATAATTAACATTTTATGGGAATTTATCCAGTCGTATGTATACATTATTTTGTCCGTTACTAATTTACTATGCAGTAGTTATTCAGACTATACACAATAACACAATAGGCATTGATAATATCACATACATTTATGGCTGTACATTAGTATAAAAAAAGTAGTTGTGAGCTGTTGTTTTTCACATACTTAAGTTTAGCAACATCTTATTCTCAATGTTTTGAAAAAATATTAATTCCAGCATCCTCCACAACTATGATTACTATTTCTTATTGTTGTGATACTCATCAAGTTTAACATTGAACATTGTTTACTAAAATATGTTTAACATTAATTTATTCTTAAATATTACAATTATTATTACCTAATATAGGTACGTGTTCTAATTAAATAAATTTATTTTTTTGTACAAACATAACATAGCGCTTAAAATTCTACTTTTTAGGTTCATTCGTGATAGGAACAGTCATAGGAAACCTTCCGCATGCGACGGTGGTCTCCATCTCTTCAATTTCTGCGTTTGACACAATGATTGACACTGCTTTTTTGATTTTTGCAACAGTGATGGGTTTCAACTGTTTGACTGTTTGTGCCATGGCGTGGAAAAATGCGTCCACCGAGTCCATGTCTTCTAATCTGAACACAAGCATTGTATCATGATATACTCTTACAGTATAAAATCACTAATCAGTGCTAGTACAACGCTACAATGTACTCTAGTTAAAACTACCACTTAAAAGATTATATTGACACTCCATCAGCCAACCCTTACCCAGTGGCGTGTTTAGGGGGTGGGCATTTGCCCACCCACATTTTTATATAAGTACTAGACTTATATAGAATAAAAATACTAAAACTTATAAATATATCAAATTTTAGTATGAGGAGGGGGTAAAACCATTCTGAACTTAATTTTTGTGGCCCATCCACAAAAAAAGTTCTGGAYACGCCACTACCCTTACCCCAACCAATGTTCTTCTATTTGGGCATGGAAATAAAAAAATTGGCTGCAACATTTCGATATGATTGATGCACTTGAACCGAGAAACGCCAAACCTATCAAATTATCTCTTGCCATACAACAACAATAAATTGTTTGTTTTATCCCTTCTCATATTTTAAATGTGGGTACCTATACCAATGGCACAAAAATGCTTAAAATATCCTCCCCCTTTCTTGCTTTTACTATTTATAAATCAGCCCGAGCCATGCTAATCAAAGCACCCACATAATAATGCAGTATATAATTATTTAGTTTTAGTTTTTAGCTGAACAAATATTTAAGTATATTTTTGATTCTGAGGCTAAGTGATAAATGTATTGTGTCTGTTTACACGAAAATTAGTAGAAATTTTTTTTTTGATTTTCAACTCTGGGAGTAGTYGGAGACTCRGAGTAGATTCTGATACCAAATTAGATCTAGTTTGTATTTTTGAGGGGTGAAACTAGAAAATTATTGATACTTTTTAAAATAATCTGGTAGAATAAATTAAAATTAAAATAAAAAATAATATATTAACAAAGTTTTACTCTATAAATATTTTAAGTTGAAATTTGGACTAMATTAAATATTTAAACGAAATAAAACGATTTWAGTTATTGTTTTTTATAAATTATTTAAAAAAAATCGTGCTGTGACCAAAATATCTAAAAAAAAAAACTTACCTATAGGCAATGTCCCGGGCTTCCACGWAATTATCTCTTGGTTTTTTGTTTATTACGGATATAGATTTTAAAAAGTTTTAAAAATAATTTAATGCATGCCACGAAAGTAATATGAAAGAAAACACATTAATTTTATTTATCTGCAAACCAATCAATATGACGTGAAAAAGCGAGTTTTTTAAAATGTATTTAGCATGTGAAAATAATTTTTCGAGGAGATGAGAAAAAACAAATTAGATCCAGGAACTCGCGATCTCTTGTCATATTTTAGGGTAAATAAAGAGCATACATTATATTATAAGGTACCAACAGTGTTGAATTCAGACAATTTTTCTGGGGAGGCTCACTTATTTTTTCATTGGTGAATGGTGATACGTAATTTTAGTACTATGAATTATATCTATTAATAGGTAGTTATTCTTATTACAATTTATAATTTAGACATTTCAAATTTATATAAAACCACAAAACAAATTATTATTTTTTTATTTTTAAATCAATCTAAGGTTGTCACGCATTATAAATCGTATTACCTATTATTATTATTTATTGCAATTCAGAAATTATAAATATTTAAAATGTTATAAAACAAATTATTAATTTTTAAATCAATCTAAGGTTAATCTAAGGTCGTCACATATTGTAATATTTTATTGAACGCAACTTAGGTGTGGTAATCGTAACGAGTATTGTGCATTTAATAAATAGGTACATTTTGTTGAAAGTCAGAAAGTTGTATTTGTCAGGGGGGGCGAAAGAAACTTCGGTGGGGGCATTCTTTGTTTTTTAATTGCTCACTTACACAAAAAAGTTCCCACAAAGAACACATAATAATAATATCATCGGACCCCCTCCTCCCTCTCCTCGCAACCATGAGGACAACTCACTTGTAATTCGTGGCGGCCGCCTGCTTGTACCGCTGGTCGCACAGGAAATGTATGGACCGGTCCAGGGCTTCGTGTTCGATGCACGACTTGTCCATCATGTTGGACTGTTCGTAAAGCATTTCGGTAACAACCGCCTGTTGATCGTACGCCGATGGTTCGCACTCGTTGGCGATGGTCTTGATGTCGGTGGCCATCGGCAGCGAAGAAGTGTCCTCGTCGTCGTTGCTGTCTCCGTTGTCGTCCTCGTCGCGGAAGGACACGTGCGGCAACAGGAACGCAATCTGCTTCTCCAGCTTGTACGGGCGCATGGCCGCCGCCGCGGTGTACATCTCCATAGTCTTTTTCTTCTTCAAGTGCCTCACGAAACCGTCACGTAGCGTTTTCCAGCGGACCTTCAACCGTTCCACTGAAACAATCGCGAAAAACGTTAACGAAATTTACTTTTACACGCCAGTCGCACGAACGAACGGCAGCGTGGTAGACATTGATGGCTACGCTCGCGCCAACGTAATTAGACTTACAGAAGTTTATTACCCTATCAATATAATATATGTTTAATATGTATAAACATAGAGGTAACGTATAAGTAGGTATTTTCACCTAGTGCATGTATTATTAGTTTTAAACTTGATTTACAGTGTAAATAGAGAAAAGGAAGGTGGTGGCAAAAAGGGACACTTGAATTCCTTTCCCATCCCCTAAAAAAAATAAAACGAGCTTATAATT